CCTTTCTTGGCTTCCTTTTATGATGAACTGTGGTCAGGTTGTGGAAGTCAAATAAATCCTCCCCTCCACAGGTCGCTTTGGTCTTAGTGTCCATCACAGCAGTAAAAGGCAAACTAGGGCAGGGCCCGTGGCGAGGCAGCACTTCATGACAGAAGGACACGTAGAGAAGCAGGCCTGCCAGAAACAGAGTTGGAGGAAGGCATGGAACAAAGTATGTCCTTCAGGGGCATGCTTCCAGTGACATTCCTCCAGCTGAGCCCCACTTCCGAGTGTCCACCTTCTTCCAATAATGTCATCATGTTATGAGTTCATCAATGAAGAACTCATTGGTTATTTATCATTGATGAAGTCATCGTTAATTCATCATTGAATCAGAACTCTCATGATCTAGTTACTTTTGCTTCTCAAAGCCGTGCCTTTCAGCATTGCATTTTGGGGCAACATTTGATATTCAGATCATAATACTATCCCTGAATGGGCTCTGTGAATCCATAATTTTTTTTAACTTGAAGTATAAATCACATATAACAAACAACATACTAGATTTTTCTCATGTAAAGTTTGATTAGTTTTGGTAAATGCTTTTCCTCATGCCATGTACAAATACAACACTCAAATTTTCCTCTCTGCCCTTTCCTATTCATTCTTGCCCATCAGAAGTGGTTGTTGACATGGGTTCTGTCATCCATGTTTGGCCTATTGTATAGCTTTAGCCAGTAGAATTGCATAGTGTATACTCACTTGGTTAAGGATTTTCTTTTCTCAGCATCATGTTGGTTGTATCAGTTGTGTGGTCAGTTGTATTCTGTTGTATGTATTTTTCACAGTTCACTCATCCATTCTGTAGATAGACACTTTTTGTACCTTAGAAATAAAAGTGCTCCAGATATTTACATACAAGGATTTTGTAAATATGTTTGCATTCTTCACTATATACCAGAACCTGGATTTCTGAGCTATAAGGTAGATGTGTATTTTGAAGAAAATGTCTATTTTCCAAAATGATTGTACCATTTTATAATTCTAGCAATGTATGAAAGTTCTGTTTATGTAACAAACTTGCCAGCATTTGGTAATTTTAATCCTTTTTAGTTTGATCTTTCTAATGTATGTATAATTGTATCTTACTGTAGACTTTAATCTTTTTGATATATTTTGTAGTTCTCTATGTAAATTAGAAAAAGGTGGAGATTTCATACCCAGGTACCCACTTGGAGAGATAGTTTGGCTGGCTGTTCTTTCAGAGGACTTGGGTTCAATTCCCAGCACACATATAGTGGCTCACAACTCTCTAACTCCAGTTCCAGGGAATCCAATACCTTCTTCTGGCCTCTGCAGACAGTGGACACACATGGTTTGCAGATATACATGCAGGCAAAACACTCATATACATAAAATATAAATAAGTAAATATTCAAAAAAATTGTAGCCAGAAACCAGGATTATTGAAGTTTCATCTAAAGTTAGTTTCTACTTGAAGAAAAAATGAGGTTTAAAATTATTCTTGTAGCAGCTGGAGAGATGGCTCAGAGGTTAAGAGCACTGATTGCTCTTTAGAGGACCTGAGGTCAATTTCCAGCAAACACGTGGTGGCTCATAACCATCTGTAATGAGATCTGATGCCCTCTTCTGGTGTGCAGGCATACATGCAGGCAGAACACTGTATTCATAATAAATAAATGAATAAATCTTTAAAAATTGTAGGCCAGTGAGATGGCTCAGTAGGCAAATATTCTTGCCAACCAAGGTTGACATTCTGAGTGATTCCTAGAACCCACTGTAGGAGAAAACTGACTTCTCATAGTTGTTCTCTGACCTCTACATAAGCACACCCTCACTCATACATGTATGCATCATATATGCAATAAATAAGTAAGTAAATATATTAAAATTATTCTTGTTTCAAAAAGTGTGGCAGCGGTTCACCACCTTTTTCAATTCCCTGATTTTGCCCTTAAGACTCTGCTTACTGTTGTTTATTTATTAAGTCACACTTGTGTCTCTGTTTTTGTCTCCTCCCTTTAAGGCAGGAGCTCTCCCTATGTAGTCCAGTTTTGGCTGAAATTTACATGAGACCTCCAGCCTCCACCTCGTGAATGTTGGTATTGCAGGGATGAACCACTTACTGCACCTGGCTTGTTTTTGTATATTTTACTTTATTTATTTTGCAGTAGGGTCACAGGTAGCCTAGGCTGACTCCAAACTCACTCTGTAGCTGAGAATGACCTTAAACTTCTGATCCTCCTGTCTCCACCTCCTGAATTCTGGGATGATAGACATGGGCTATCACACCTGTCTTCTGCAGTGCTGGAGACTGAGCTTCCTGTGATTTAGACAAAAGGCAAATTCCATCTGAGCTATACCCCTAGCACTGGCTTTGCACATTTAAAACAGAATAATTACGCCTAGCATGCCTCATAATTTAATAATTAATTATTGTGAGGAATAGTGAATAAATTAACCAAAACTATGTTTTGAAGGTATCATCATCAAGCAAAATACAGAGACGGGGCTGGAGAGATGACTCAAAGGGAAAGTGTCTGCAGGGCATTCACACAAGCATGAAAACCAGGGTTCTAATCCCCGAAGCCCTTGTAAAGGCATAAAAGGCTGCATCAGTTTAGCTGATGGCCTCTAATTCCCCACTAAGAAGAGACAGGGTTCCCCAGAGCAAACTGTCTAAGGAGACTCTGGGTTTGATGAGAGACCCTAACATAATGAATATTGTATAAGTGTTGGGGCGTTTACCCACCACCCCCACAGTTCCCCAGAGTTTTCTTGAGTGCGAGCAGCAGGAAATATTAGATAGAAGGATTTATAGCGGAGAATATTGCGGAGATAAACAGATAGAAAATAAAGGATAGCCTCGAGAGGGCCTGGAACCTTTTCTAATGGGCCCCGACTGTCTCTGCCCCAGGGTTTTTATAGAGATGCCAAGGGATGGAGCAAAAGACCTCCTCCCCCAGCACAGCCAAGTGCAGACCTTCTCAGACACCTGCACTCAGGCCCGTAGTCCTGATCATCCTCTATTCGGACCTGCTGGGTAAAGCCACGAGGAACCTGAGAACGGGTTCCCACATGTAAGAGCCATCTAGAATGATTCATGATATCAACCTCAGACCTCATAGGCATATACTCCCTTACCGTGTGAAATCATGCATACACACATATTCATACCAAACAGATGAAAATTGGGCAAGCAAAATTAGAGAGACAGGAACTTTTATTTGGCAATAGTAAGATTTTACTTCAAGACACATGTACAGGTCAGCCTTTGGCATAACTGGAGATTAAAGCAAAGTTTGGGAATTTTATTCTGAGAAAGACAGCTACCAGTTATTCTGAAACAAGGTTCATTGAACTTGGGAGAGCTGCAAGCTCTGGTCATTACATAGAGATGTTTCTCTGTAATATTAAGGCTCATCATTGACAGTTGTTAAGTAAAAATAGTCAAAGATAGGGCAGACCGTTTTGTTAGACTGACTCAGAAATAGTTTTTGGAGTAGGATCTATTTGTGTTCATGGGTTGTGGTGGGAAGGGTTCTGTTTTTTTGCTGTTTGGTTTTTTATTTTATTTATTTATTATTATTGTTTGTTTTTGTTTTTCAGGACAGGGTTTCTCTGTATAGCCCTGGCCGTCTTTGAACTCACCCTGTAGACCAGGCTGGCCTCAGACTCAGAGATCCACCTGCCTCTGCCTCCTGAGTGCTGGGGTCAAAGGCGTGCGCCACCACTGCCTGGCTTGTTTTTATTTTTTGAGGTAGGATCTCATGTAGCCTAGATAGACCTTAAACTTGCTCTGATAGATAGATAGATAGATAGATAGATAGATAGATAGATAGATAGATAGATGGATGGATGGATGGATGGATGGATGGATGGATGGATGGATGGATGGATATTCACATTTATATACTATATGAAGGGATGTATTAGAGTGGCGTACAGGCTGTGATCCCAGTAGTCCCAACAGTGGCTGTCTCCGGATGGGAAGGCTGAGAGGCTGATAGTTGTTCTGTCTAGGAGGCAGCAGTCCTGATCTTGTGCTAGAGTCCTAGAGAGCTGCTGGTCTTCGGTCTGCATTGGAATCTATCAGAAGGAGGCTTTTATACCAGCGGAGGAATGCCTCAGCAGCAGGACACATGAACTAGCCAAGAGAGTGAGAGCAAGCAGGCAAAAAGCAAAGCTTCCCCGTCCCATGTCCTTTTATTCTGGCTGTCACTAGGTGTGGCCCAGACTTACAGTGGATCTTACACCTTCAAATGGTCCACTCAAGAAAAGCCCTCCCAGGTGTGCCCAGCTTGGGTTTGAATGTATGTTTATTTTTTTATGGGACCAAGCACAGGTCACACACGTGCTAGGCAAGTGTACTCATGAGTTATATCCCAGACCTTTGTCTTACTGTTTTTTCCCCTCCTGTTTTGGTAGGCTCCCAGAGAATAAGGTTTCCAGGGAAAAAATTGTGCATCATGTTTATATCAGGTTATTATTATTAAGAAAGTAAGTATTGTAGGATGAAAATACAAAAATCCTACAATAGAAATTACTTAGTTTAGGGAATTGTTAAGTCTGTATTGTTAGACTTTTTTTTTTTTTAAGATAGGCTGGTTCATGGTGTTGAGTTAAAGCCATCTTTTACATTTTTGTGTTATCAAACTTAAATAATTTTAGTGACAATTATTTAAAGAAATTTTTCAGCCGGGCATGGTGGTGCACACCTTTAATCCCAGCACTGGGGAGGCAGAGGCAGGTGGATCTCTGTGAGTTCAAGGCCAGTGGGGTCTACAGAGTGAGATCCAGGACAAGGCCACACAGAGAAACCCTGTCTCAAAGCAACAAGAAAAAAAAAAAAAATTTTTTTTTTGGTTTGGAGATAGTCTCACTGTGTGTGTGTGTAACCCAGTTTTTCCTCAAACTCATTATCTTTTTTTTTTTTTTTTAAAGATTTATTTATATATTATACATACAGTGTTCAGTCTGCATGTTTTCTTGTAGGCCAGAAGAGGGAACCAGATCTCATTACAGGTGATTGTAAGCCACCATGTGGTTGCTGGCAATTGAACTCAGTACTTCTGGAAGAGCAGTCAGTGCTCTTAACCACTGAGCCATCTCTCTAGCCCCAAACTCGTTTATCTTCTTGCTTATTTTCTTTAGTGCTGAGATGGGGTAATAGTCTAGGGCTACTATAATATAGCCACTGAAAATTTTTTTATTATAGCAATAAAGTATAATTTTATTTTCCTTATTATGATGAATTTACTTATCTTATCTAAGCAAGCATTTAATGTTCTTAATACGATAGTCAATATTTGATTTGGAATTTATTTTAAGTAAACACCTAAACACTTGTCTAAAAATAATTTAAGTAAATTATTTAAGTAAATTATTCTATAATATTCTTGTTTTTATGGGGTTTTCAACTGAAGTCATGTTTGATTTAATGTTTGATCAATAGACAGCACTCAATGGACAATTATATGAACTGTTAATTGTTTTCATGAACTGGATCTCAGACCACCATCTTAACAAAGTGGAGCCTGAAGAACCTAGTGTGAATGGTGAAAAACCATCACTCAAACCTTCCCCGAGAAGTGACATTCAAGAGAAGTGTGTGAAGGTTGGTTTTCAAGATTCGCTTCTTTTTGTTTTATGTATGTAAGTGTTTTGTTCGTATGAATGTAAGTCTTGTCGTGTCCCCCCCCCCTCCCCCGGTGTGCCTGGTGTCTGGAGGCCAGAAGAGGGTGTTGGATGCCCTGGACTGGACTTACAGAAGGTTGTGAGCCAGTGATGGTGCTTCGAACCTAACCTGCGTCCTTTGTAAAGGCGGTAGGTGCTTTACACCCCTGAGTCGTTTCTCCAGCCCCCAAGGTTTTGTTCTGTTTTTAATTTGAAGTTCATGAAGAGATTAAATAAGGAAAAGCTTTTGGCATTTTTATTTATTTTTAGTTTAGTTTAGTTTTTAAAGATTACATCTATTTATTTAATTGGGGAGGGGGGACACACCACTACACATGTGTGAACAACTTTCTCTCTCAATCAGTTCTCTCCTCCCACTGTGTGGATCCCAGGGGTGGAGCTCAGGGTCTCAGGCTTAGCGGCAGGCTGCTTTACCCACAAGCCATCTCACTGGCTCTGGCATTTTTTAAATTAGATTCATATATTTTATTTTATGTGAGAATATTTTATCTGCCTGTATGTATGTGTACCACATGCATATATGTGTGCTACCTACAGAAGTCAGAAGAGTGTTTTGGACCCTCTAGAACAGTGGTTCTCAACCTCTGGGTGGAGACCCCTTTGTGTGTATGTGTGTGTGTACGTAGGGAGGTGGGTGGATGGGACAAATGACCCTTTCACAGGGGTTGCCTAAGATGGTTGGGAAACATAGACAATTACATTATAATTCATAACAGTGGTAAAATTACAGGTATGTAGCAGCAACAAAATAATGTTATGGTTGGGGGTCACCTCAGCATGAGGAACTGTACTAAAGGGTCGCAGCATTAGAAAGGCTGAGGCCCACTGCTCTAGAACCAGAGCTACATAGAGATGGCTGTGAACCACTACATGATGCTGGGAACTGAACCCCAGTTCTCTGCAAGAACAAGTCATGCTCTTAACCACTGAGCCATCTCTCCAACCCCAACTTCTGACATGTTTGTAAGTGAAAATGTTGGAAGTATTTTTGTTTTGTGAGGCAGGTTCTCAGTGTGTAACTTAGGCTGTCCTTAAATTCACTCTGTAGTTGAGGATGGTGTTAAATTTAGGATTCTCTTGTCACTGCCTTCTTGTTTCTGAGATTATAAATATGTGCTTCTATATCTGACTTAGAAGCATTTTTTGCTAGAAAATTGTCTAAACCAGCACTTTTTAACATTCATTTCAGACCTCAATATTAATTCATACTAAATTTGAAAGGTTTGTTTTATGTGTATGTATGCTTTTCCTACATATATGTATGTGTGCTGAATGCATGCAGTGCCCAAGGAGCTAGAAGACTGTTGTAGCCACCGTGGGGTTCTGGGAACTAAACCCTTGTCCTCTGCAAGGGCAGAAAGGACTCTTAACCACTGACCCATCTCTCCAGCTCCTGTATGTACATTTAATTTTTCTTTATTTTGAGTATTGTTAGGTATTAAACCCAGGGCCTAAGCAGTACTGCAATGCATTTGTAGTTTTCTTAATATGATGGGAGTTGGTTTTTTTAAAGTAGAGACATAACTTTAATCAAATGCTTAGAAGTGCCAAAATGGTCATCTATTCAGTGATGTGAATTGCTCTTCCTACATACAATCATAGCTTTGAAACCTATTGGTATAATTCTTTTTTTTTATTGGATTTGGGGATTAAGGATAAAATCTCTGCTTTGTGGGGTTTTTAATCATCAAAGGGAAATATTTCCTAATGTCAATATCAGTGCTCAAGATTTGTAACTAGTATGAAAGGTCTTTCGAGATTGACAGTATAAAAACTTTGAGGAAACGACAGGTTTTGTTTGTTATTTTCAGGAATAATTTCATGATTATTAAGTAGTTCAGGATTTTGAGTAAATTATATTCATCTTTTTTTTTTTTAATCTTTAACTACAAAGATCCTTCAAAATGTCTTTTGTGCTAGGTAGAATAATGGCTGCAGAAATGCTCCCATTCTGCCCTTTGGAACCTATAACCATGACAAAAAGGAATGAAAATTGCCAATCAGCTGCCCTTGAAACAGGGAGGAAAATTCCCAAGGTTTCCAGGCTGTCCAGCATACTGAATCTTTAAGCTGGAAAGGAAGATTTAGGTTGAATACTCAGTGTATCGTTGCTGGCGTTGAAGGTGGACCACCGTGGAAATGAACAATGGGAAGGAGACAGTTCCAGAGGCTGGATACTGCCTTCAGCTCTGTCAGCATAGATCTCAGTGCCAGAACTGCAGAGAACTGAGCTCAGCTTGCAACTTGACTGAGTAAGGGGTGACTCTTCCCCTTAACCTCCAGAAACATGTACAGGGTGGTAGGCATCTTAATCTTGACCAGCTGAGACCTACCTCAGACTAAGTGTTGTTTAAGCATACTTTGTGATACTTTATTATAGCTATATAATAGGACTTATTTTATTTAGAATTTTTTGTTTGTTTTTTCAAGACAGGGTTTCTCCGTGTAGTTTTGGTGCCTGTCCTGGATCTCGCTCTGTAGACCAGGATGGCCTCGAACTCACAGAAATTTGCCTAGCTCTTCCTCCCGAGTGCTGGGATTAAAGATGTGCGCCACCACTGCCCAGCTTAACCTCATATTTTTAAAGATGTCAGTTCCCCGCCCCAAATTATTCTGTATATCCAGTGCATTATCCACATTTCAACTGGCTTCTTTGTAGAAATGGGTAGACCAATCCTAAAAGTCGTTTAGTTCATTTTTAGAAAACCATGGCAGTTAATTTCGGATATCTAAATATGTGGTGCTTTTGTGTCCCATCTCCTTCAGCTTCTGCCTCTGATGACAGACCAGCTCCAGTGGATGCCTTTTGTGAACGCCAAACTGCACGAGCCATTTGTAAAGTTTATTTATTGGTCTATAAGGCAGCTGGATGCTGGAACACAGGTACTGACTCATCAGAACCTATCTAGTAGACTCTGCTTAGGATCAGTTCTCTGGGTTATGTTCACAGAAAAATAAATACTACACATGTGTGTGATCTGTCCTCTTTTGTTTGAGAGCAGTCTTTTCTATAAAATACCATCTGTCCTAAGGTTTTGATAGGGATTGTATTCAGCTTGTATACCAGTTTCCTGTGATGAGTCTTTCAGCATAGGAATATAACCATGTTTTCACTCATAGCTGTGTTCTTGTATCATTGTTGCATAATTTTTGCATAAAATTCATGTGTGGACTCTTAATTATGTTTTTTAACTATTTGAGTTTTTTTTATTTTATTTATTTATTATGTATACAGTCTGTCTGCACACATCCCTGCAGGCCAGAAGAGGGCGCCAGATCTCATTACAGATGGTTGTGAGCCACCATGTGGTTGCTGGGAATTGAACTCAGGACCTTTGGAAGAGCAAGCAGTGCTCTTAACCTCTGAGCCATCTCTCCAGCCCACTATTTGAGTTTTTGAGTGGTTTTAATCTGTTAAATTTTGTTGTCCATATGTTTATGGTGATAACATGTGTCTTAGTTAGAGTTTCTATTCCTGTGAAGAGACACCATGACCACGGCAACTCTTATAAAGGAAAACATTTAATTGAAGTGGTGGCTTACAGTTATAAGGTTCAGTCCATTACCATCATGGTGGGGAGCATGGTGGCATACAGGCAGACATGGTGTTGGAGAAGTAGCTGAAAGTCTTACATCTTGCAGGCAACAGGAAGTTGACTAAGACACTGATCAGTATCCTGAGCATAGGAAACCTTAAAACCCACCCCCACAATGACACACTTCCTCCAACAAGGTCATACCCACTCCAACAAAGCCATACTTCCTAATAGTACCACTCCCTTGAGATTATGGGGGCCAATTACATTCAAACTACCCCAGCATATAGACATATAATTGATTAACAAGGAATATTGGTCTTTGGTTTTTGTGTTTTGAACTTTGTCTGGTTTTATATCTATTTGATTTATAAAAATTGAAATCATCTCATCTTTTATTAATTCTAAGAGGCTATTAGGTGGTATAGTTGGGGTTTCTATTTCTGTGAAGAGACATCATGACCACAGCAACTCTTAGAAAGGAAAACATTTATTTAGGGCTCGCTTACAGTTTAGAGGTTTCATCCATTATCATCATGGTGAGAAGCATGGTAGCATAAAGGTAGACATGGTGCTGGAGAGTCAGCTGAGAGTTTTACATCTTGATCTACAGGCAGCAGCAGGAGACTGTGTGCCACACTGAGGGTAGCTTGAACATAGAAGACCTCAAAGCCCACCTGCACAGTGACACACTTCTCTAATTAGGCCACACCTCCTAATAGTGCCACTCCCTGAGCCAAGGATTCAAACATAAGTCTATGGAGGCCATTCCTATTCAAACCACCACAGGTGAATAGAATGAATTCTTTAAATATTTGATAGTGTGTTGCGCAATTCTAATTAGTCTTAATAATAAAACCTCAGAGTCAGATATCGGGGTAAAACCTGAAAGATCAGAGAAGTAAAGGAGCAGCCACAGTCATCTCTTACCTCTCCAACTCCTCAGAATGGAAAGGGGCGAGCTCCTGTCTCCGCCCCGCCATATCACTTCCTGTCTCCTGTCTGTACAGACCTCCAGACCTCTATGGTTAACTAGTGGCTAGTTCCACCCTCCGATCTTCAGGCAAGCTTTATTTGTCAGAACACAAAATATCACAACAGATAGTGTTCAGGAGAGAACTAGAGATTTTATTCTTTTTTTATTTTCTTCTTTTTATATGCATGTTTGCTTGCATGTATGTAGATGTACCATGTGTGTGCAGTGTCCACAGAGGCAAAGAAGATCATTGGATAGCCTGGAACTGGAATTACAAAGGGTTGTGAGTTGCTGTGTGGGTGCGGGGAACTGAACCCAGGTCCTCTGCAAGACCAGTAAGTGCTCTTAACCACTAAGCCGTCTCTCTAGCCCTGAGATATATTTGAGGGAAAGTTTTAAATTATGAATTCAGTTTTTCTTAAAATTTTTATTATGCTTTCTATCTGTCTGTCTCTGTCTGTTTTCTCTCTCTCTCTCTCTCTCTCTCTCTCTCTCTCTCTCTCTCTCTCTCTCTCTC